TCCGCAACTTGTGGGCTTGGCGCATAATAGTTTAGAGCCATTTATGCAACTAGATAAACCAGTTTAATCTAGTGGTAGTTAGAAGGTTATATAGATTTATACATAGTTATGTTTAATTATTAATTATATATAGTTATACAGTGTTATATACAATTAAATAGATTTATATATAGTTATGTAGAGATATTGATTATATATAATTTTATTGGGATATATACGGTTATAAACATTTATTTATATTCATATAGTGTAATATACGCTTGTCATGATTTATAAATATTTAGGTAGAGTTATTGTTTATAAATAGTTATTTAGTGATATATACGGCTATATAGATTTATATATAGTTATGTAGAGTTATTTATTATATATAGTTATATAGTGATATACTCGGTTTTATAGATTTATATATAGTTATGTTGAGTTATTGATTAGATATAGTTGTATAGTGTTATGTACGATTATATAGTTTTATATTCAGTTATGTAAAGATATTGAATATATATATAGTCATATAGTGTTATATACGGTTATATAGATTTATACATAGTTATGTAGAGTTATTGATTAGATATAGTTATATAGTGATATATACGGTTATATAGATTTATATATAGTTATGTTGAGTTATTGGTTAGATATAGTTATATAGTGTTATATAAGGTTATATAAATATATATAGTTATGTGGAGATATAAAATATATATAGTCATAAAGCGTTTTATTCGATTATATAGATTTATATAAAGTAATATAAAGCCACTGAGGCGATTTTTATAATGAATTTATAAATTATATAAATATAGCGAGCAAAATATTAACATAAAAGCGCTTTCAAATCTATGCATATTGGCTCAGCTTGGCTTGGCTCAGATTAGAATCGGATGTTAAGCAAGGTGTGGTCTCAAACTATTTTGAATTCTCCCCGTTATCTAGTTTTATATATAGTTATGTAGAGTAATTGATAATATATAGTTATATAGTGATATACACGGTTTTAAAGATTTATATATAGTTATGTAGAGTTATTTAATATAGATAGTCTTATAGTGTTATATACGTTATAAAGATTTAAATAAAGTTATATAGTGTTATTGATTATAGATAGTGTTATAGTGATATATACGGTTATATAGATTTATATATAGTTATGTAGAGTTATTTAGTATATCTAGTTATATAGTGATATATAATCAATAACTATATATAATCAATAACTATTTATAATTAATAACTCTACATAACTTTATAGAGATATATATATAGATATGTTGAGTTATTGCTTAGATATAGTTATATAGTGTTATCTACGGTTGTATAGATTTATATATAGTTATGTAGAGTTATTTAATATATCTAGTTATTTAGTGATATATACGACTATATAGATTCATATATAGTTATGTAGAGTTATTGATTATATATAGTCATATAGTGTTATATACGGTTATATAGATTTAAATATAGTTTTGTAGAATTATTTACGTAACTATATATAAATCTATATAGTCGTATATATCACTATATAACTAGATATATTAAAAATTAAATACTATCACTATATAACTATATATATTCAATTACTCTACATAACTATATATAAATCTATCTAACCGTATATAACTCTGTTTAACTATTTATAATTAATAACTCTACATAACTATATATAAATCTATTTAACCGTATATATCACTGTATAACTTTATATAATCAATAACTCTACATAATTATATATAAATCTTTATAACCGTATATATCACTATATAACTATATATATTCAATAAATCTACATAACTATATATATGTCTATATAACCGTATATAACACTATATAATTATAAATAATTAATAACTCTACATAACTATATATAAATCTATACATCCTTCTAACTACCACAATACTAAACTTGTTTATTTAATCGCCTCAGTGGCTCTAAACTTTTAAGCGCTAAGCGCTTAAGTTGGGGGATTGTCACAAACTATATTTAAATTTTTGTAACCGTATATATCACTATATAACTCTAAACTAAACGATTATATATAGTTATATAGTGTTATATACGATTGTATAGTGTTATATATAGTTATTGATTATATAAAGTTATATAGTGGTATAGACGGTTATATAGATTTATATATAGTTCTGTAGATTTAGTGATTATATATATATATATATATATATATATATATATATATATATAGTGATATATACTGTTCTAAAGATTTATATATAGTTATATAGTGTTATATACGTTTATCTAGTTTATATATAGTTATGTAGAATTATTTATATATTCATATAATGTTATATACGGTTATATAGATTTATATATAGTTTGAATAGTGTTATTGATTATATATAGTTATATAGTGATATATACGGTTATATAGACTTATATAAAGTTATTTAGAGCTATTGATTTTATATAGTTATACATTTATATATACGGTTTTTTAGATTTTTATATAGTTCCGTAAAATTATATATTATATATAGTTATAAAGTGTTATATACGTTTATATAGATTAATATATAGTTATGTAGAGTTATTGATTATATATAGTTATTTAGTGTTATATACGGTTATATAGATTTAAATATAGTTATGTAGAGTTATTGAATATATATAGTCATATAGTGTTATA